TTTCGTAGGGTATATTTTTTTTCCTTGTTTTGAGTTAGGCAATCACAGGAGTCAGGGATAGGAAACGTCGATGATACCACCACACCTAAGGTGTACAAAAAAAAAAAAAAACACTTAAGAGAGTCTAGTTAACCACTGGACTACAACATGCATATATTGATACCATTAAATTTTTAAAAACTAGTAATTTAATTAAATCTTGTCAATTTTAATTGGATCTTTAAGTTTAGTGGTTCATTCTCAAATTTTAATACTTAAATTGAGTTAATCAAGAGTTTAATCCTTACTAATCACTTAAAAAAATTCCCCCTCCCTCATAATTCCTCCATATTCAAAAAAAAAAAAAATCAATTTAAAGTTCATTTTAAAATATGTAGTTATAATATTTAGAAATATTTATTTATAAATTAATTTTAATTTATTAAATAATAAATGATAAATATTTTATTAATTATTAATTATTTTTAATAATCAAATTAAAATAAAAATTTAATAATTATTTGTAATCTTAACAAATTTAATAGTATCTACAATCAAATCCCGTGGTGGTGCCGCAATTTGACAGAGTTTTTGATTTTGGCAATTAAACGTAATCTCAGTAATTTACTAATTTTCTTAATGGACTACAGAAGGACGCTGTTGACAGTTCTTTTTTAAGGTGAAGGATTATTATGAAAAAAGAAAAAAAAAAGTCATTCTTTAAGGACTATTAAGAACGTTTGGTAAATCTTGAGGACCAAATTAGAAGTAACTTCCAGTCCCTGTTAACTAGCAGAACCTAATTTGTTAGTGACACAAAATTCCAAAATTCTCCCAAAAAAAAAACCGAATTGGCAGAAAACAATCGGCCTCCAAATTTGGCTGTGCGTTCAATTGGATGAATCCGTTAAGTCAAGGTCAATGTACGAACCAGGAAGGGTGGCGCATTGCCTATTTATTTATTGTTTTTGCTCGGGAGCCAAAGCAACATGCCTGCTACCTGTTGTACTGGACCTTCGACCAGGCATTCTACCCTTGTCGAATCGGAACCAACCCCCACTGCCTTGCACTGAAATTGCAGCAAAACAGAGCGAAGGAGAAGGACAATGGCTTTGGTGCATGGCTGGAATATAAACGGGAATGGGCGGATGTCGCAGTGTTGGGGTTTTGGCAATTCATTCTGCTTCTTGGCTGTCACGCGGCACAATTGAACGTCTAAAAACCATTCTTTTTACGACTTTTTAGGTAAAAGTGGAGCTGTCTGTAAATTAAGATTGTTCTTACCAACAGGGATGAAGGGTTTCATTTTAGAAACACAGAATACTGATGCTTTTATAAAAAATGATCAATAACAACAATGAAATCCAAAACCCAGTAAAACATTGCATTACAAACACAGAGCGTTGATGCTTTTATTCACTAACTGTTGAAATTTCTGTTTCAGCAAACGAAATAAAATCCAAACATGCAATATGATGACGCAGGGAATGCCAAATGGGATCTAAGGCTTGGTGGCAGCCAAGGTGTTTCCAATGTCAATGACAAATCGGTATCTAACATCACCCTTTTCAAGTCGCTCCAGTGCAGTGCTCACGTAATCCATGGGGATAACCTCAATGTCTGCTGTAATGTTGTGTTTTGCTGCAAAATCTATCATCTCCTGCATCTCCTTGATCCCTCCACCGCAGCTTCCGATCACTGCCTTCCTTCCTGTTGTTTCATGTAGAAACTTATTAGTAGTTCTTTAACTTCTATATTAAGTGGTACGGAGCAAATGTATAGATAAACGCAGCTGATTTTTTTTTTTTTTTTTGAACTTTGAATAAACTTACCTAGGAGCAGAGGAAAAAGGGGCAGCTCAGGTGGTTTCTCAGGCGCACCCACTATAACAAGTTTTCCATTAGTCTTCAATAGATCAATCAGTGGTGAAATGGGATGTGCAGCAGAGACTGTGTCTATGATTCCATCCATTGTTCCCATGGCAGCCTGTTCAAATTCAATACATAAACAATGTCATTACGCATGAACCAGGTTCTGTCCTACTGATTGCTTTTCCTTCTAAATTCTTGTTTAAATTTTGAACATTTTAATGATTCAATGGTTTTGTATGGAATTGGGGATTGTTGATAGTATGAATGCATGAGAGAAATGCAGGATTTAACGTGGCTAAGTACCCTCATTTCGTCCTGGTCACGGCTAACTAAAAATGAGTCAGCACCAAGATGCCCAAGAGCTTCATTCTTCTTGCTGGGAGATGTGCTTATCACAGTCACCTTGGATCCCAAAGCCTTGGCAAGTCTAACGGCAACGTGACCAAGACCTCCTAGTCCGACAATGCCTATATGCTTGCCAGGTTCCCCAAGGCCAAAATATTTCAGTGGACTCCAAACTGTGATTCCAGCACAGAGCAATGGAGCAGCAGCATCAAGAGGGATGTTATCAGGAACCCGAACAATAAAATTTTCATTGGCAACCATGAAATCAGAGTATCCTCCATATGTTCTTGTTCCATCATGGTCAATTCCATTATAGGTTTCTATTAATTTAGGACAGTATGCTACATAGTCATTGTCACAGTTCTCGCAGGAGCCACATGCGCCATATATCCCTCCCATACCCACCCTATCTCCGACCTTAACCTTGGTCACCTTGCTGCCTACCTCTGTCACTTCTCCCACAATTTCATGCCTGTAAAATCAAATTTAGTTGGTGCATATATTTTAGAGCTGGTCAAAAAACTATTTTGCAATCGAGCCAATTTTAATGCGAGTCTAGAGCTGAAAAGACCATGTTGAAATTAGTGAATGGAGAAGAAAAAGGTAATGACGAGGGGCAAAATGTTCTTCTCAATGCTCTCTGCCATTAAAATTAGCCTGTCTAGACTGATTTTCTACGCTCTGTTTTCTAATAGCAAAAATTCAATAGAGGTCTTACCCTGGAACCATTGGATAGATAGAGAGGCCAAAATCATTCTTGATAAAATGAAGGTCTGTATGACATATTCCACAATATAACACCTTGAACTTCACATCCTCTTCACCAGTTTCTCTGCACCCAAACACAATAATTTAGAACCAAAACATTGTGGCATGATATCAGAAAGAAGAGCAAGAGAAGAAGAAAGAGAAGTCACCTTCTGGAGAAGTTAAAAGGGGAGAGGTGACCAGATTGGTCTCTCGTAGCCCAGCCGAAGGCCTTAACAGGATGCTCCTCCTCAGGTAACTTGGCCATTGGATGAAGTGCTTATTACTTGTGTGTGCCTTGTACACGAAAGCTTAGCACAAAATTTGTAAGGGATGGTTTCCACCGCAGCTGACATACCAGGTGAGCTAATGTTCAAGTTTACTAGTTCGCTCATGTATGCATGTATTGTGAATTAGTCAGCGGACTGGAGAGAAAGTAATCTTTCTAATTCGTCATTTCCATGGGAAAAACAAAAATTTGAAAAGGAGAGTTGCGGACATGGGCCAACATGGCATCGTGGCGTGAGCATCACCGGTCATCGATGTTATATCAGAGAAGGTG